TTTTGCCTTCAAAGAATCCATTAGAACCTTGAACGCCACTCTTCCCCATGGGTAATTCTCAAATCTTTCTAAGTCCATGACTAGCCTTGCAAGACTAGCCCGTGTAGGAGAAGAGAACTTTCTGGCTTCAATGTATCCTGCGTAGATGGCAAGGTATCCCAGCCGCATTCGATCATCCCGAGACCACCCGTCACACTTGGTAAATGCTGTTCTTAACTGTTCAATGCTTGTCCCAGCATGGGGATCAACACCCATCTTCTCCCAGAAAGCAGTCATCTCCTGAGAAATCTCACACCTAAGATTTTCCAAATTCGGGATGTAGTTGCAGTTTAGACCTGTGAGGTTTTCAAACTCTAGAATTGAAAACCTCAAAGGTTCTGGTCCGGCAAGAGTCCAGAGCTCAAACTTCTTCTTGATGTCCAGCTAGAAGGAGAGAATAAAATGTACAAGCCTTGAAGTCCAAACAAAGCCAAGCTCCTTGAACTTGATGAATATTCCCAACTTTGACGCTTTCAGATCCTCATATTCATCAAGTTTAAGATTTTCAGATAGAGCTTCAAACAACTTCTTGTCATCAGAATGATACGAAATGCTCCTCAGTGCAGGGGGCTCTTCTCCTAATGTAAACAACCTCGGCGGCAGTTCTGATATATCCATTTTAAGGCCTGGAAACAATCACAAACAACCATCTCAACCACAAAGGTATCGCACTATTCTAAATACTATAGAAGACTAGCAGACGACTTTCAGGAAGTGAGATAACTACTCAGACGACTTCCTGGAAGTCTTCTACAGAGTCTTACTCTCTGGACGACTTACATGTAAGTCGTCCAGAGAGTAAGACTTCGTAGAAGGCTTCCAAGAAGTGAGAAGACTACTCAGACGACTTCCTGGAAGTCTTCTACAGTGTCTTACTCTCTGGACGACTTACATGTAAGTCGTCCAGAGAGTAAGACTTCGTAGAAGGCTTCCAGGAAGTGAGAAGACTACTCAGACGACTTCCTGGAAGTGAGAAGACTACTCAGACGACTTCCTGGAAGTCTTCTACAGAGTCTTACTCTCTGGACGACTTACATGTAAGTCGTCCAGAGAGTAAGACTTCGTAGAAGGCTTCCAAGAAGTGAGAAGACTAATATGACGACTTACAGTTGGAGAAGATTTAGTCGGAGAAGATGTGGTCCCTAGCGGTTACAGATCTGCATATCGAAGGGAAAAGAAGAGTCAAGACTACAATTTTTAGGGTTTTCCGGCGGCTAAACGCCTTAAAACATAAGATATAACATACCGGCGGCGGAGGAAATGGCTACGAGATTTCAGATCTGAAAAAAGGAAGCGGATAGTCAGTTTAAACTACGAAAATACTCTAAGGCATGAAAGAAAAACAAGATTCGTCGAAATCGGAGAGATTACCGGCAAAAACAGAGAGATTCGTCGAAATCGGAGAGATTCGTCGAAATCGCCTTTACAATCGTCCTTGGAGAGAAACGGCGCTAGGGTTTCGGGAAATTGTGAAAAAGTGAAAAAATAACTTTTATATGTCCGGTAAAAATCCGGTTAGGTTAAAACGTAAAATGTTAAAATTAACGGTTCGGTACAATTAGACGACTGAAATTTCAGTCTGTCTGGGAAATAATTTAAAGCAGACGACTTAAATTTCAGTCGTCTGGGAAATAATTTAAAGCAGACGACTGAAATTTCAGTCGTCTGGGAAATAATTTAAAGCTTAGTCGTCTGGGAAATAATTTAAAGCAGACGACTGAAATTTCAGTCGTCTGGGAAATAATTTAAAGCAGACGACTGAAATTTCAGTCGTCCAGTCCCTAAACATAACCCCTAAACTTTATTCTCTAATTAAACACTTCGAAACATCAATTTAAACTTGAAAAATGTTTACTATACACAGAAATAAACACATAGAGGTCAAATTAATTTTTTCAAAAAAAACATTTCAGCTTTTCAAAATCTAACCCTAAGATTACATACAATACTACAACATATGTTTGTCAAACCCTTAAACCAAAGAATATCATGATTCATTACTTGCACTCATCTATGCTGAAAACAAATCAACTTTATCATTTCTTAATTTATATCACTTATAAATGTTTATAATTACATGTTTTTAACTTTTCACTCATCAAAATATTTTGTACAGAATTTATAAATTATTTTTAAGATTCAATCGTCCAGACAACTAACATTTCAGTCGTCCAGACGACTGAAAAGTAACTCAGCCCGACCCAAACAACTTACTGGGGTTATATTCGTAAAAATGTCTTCTGTTTTTTTGTTTGGTCACAGAGCACTATACTGTAATTTCATAGCCCTTTTAGGTTAGATTTGCATTTGATTCAAGTTGGGGTTTAGTATTGGGGTTAAAACCAAGTTATGGGTTAGTTTTGGAAAAAACCCCTTCTTTTTATTACTAGTTGCATACTCCCCGCGCAAGCGCGGGATAGGGATCATTATGTTTGCGTGTATTTTTTTCAAATGTTGGTTTAGTGGATTCTTCTAATAACATCAAATAATAATAAAATGGAAAGAATGTAGTAAGAGTCTAAAGTGAAAATATTGGATATCTAATGTGTTAAATGTTATTTATATGCGAAGTAAGGTTTATAGGAATAGTTAGGCTATAATATAGTTTTTAGTATGTAAAAGTAGGTGTCTATTTTTTTTTTTTTTTGCTGTAAATTATTTTTATATAATATGTCAAAACTTGATATAATTCTATATTTATAGTATTTATATTTGTATTAAATGATTTATCAATTTGAAAATAACATTAATTAAGTTAATATTCGTTGTTTAAGTTTCATTAGATAGGTTTTTATATATGGTTTTTTGTAAGTTTGAGTTTTGTTCGTAAATGATGTGACATTTTTATCTATGGCGTCATCGACTATGGGAATCCATTCGCCGGAGTCTGGATCGCTGGTGAGGAATGTTTCAATGAAATTATAGTAGTTATTAAAATGTAAGAGAAATTACATATTCATTTAATAAATTACGAAAATAATTAATTTTTGTTGTTTTTTTATTTTATCTCACATACAAATTTTTTGAAAATATATATTAGGAAATATGTGCAATGATTTAACTTTTTGAACTCTTAATCTATATTATTCAAGCCTCATTAAGCCATCCACGTAGGCAGCCGCGTGGAATTTCCTTCTTTTTTCTTGGTATGTTCGTTCTGGGATTTATTTTTTATTATTTTTGGGTTAAACTATATTATAATAGGATAGTTTTAAGGCTCTTTAATCCATCCGCGTAGGCAACCATATGAGACTGGCTTTTTTTTTTATTGTTCATTTTAGATTCATTTTTAACTATTTAGGGTTTGAACTTGTTAAGATTTAGGGTTTATCCAACTATTTTGATCTTTAAGACAATAAGCCCAAAAAAAAAACATAAAAACCTTATAAACAAAAAACCCATATGATAATAATCCAAATAAAAAAATCAAAAATACATGATAGCTGCGTGGTGAACCCATGATCTTGCATACTTAATTAGATACCTTATACCACTTGGGTAAAGTGTATTTCATTGTTTGTGATAATCTTACCAAGTCTATATGTGTTTAAAAAATATGTACAAGACCCATAGATTGGTCAATAATTTTAAGGTGAGTCCAACAAAAAAAATAAAAATATGAGCCACAAATGAAAGGTAAGTGAGAAGAGTTTGACATCTGTGTTGATTTGTTTGTTCAGTGTTTTCATCGACACTCTTTATTAAAAGAAGAATAAGATTTTTATTTCGTTGATAGTACTAAATTGATTGATGTGTATTAATTTAGTACTCTTTACACAAAAGTCTGTCAATCATCACATGGAGAAATCAATTTCGTATTGCGTACCAAATTTATTTATTTCAGCAACCACAGAAAAATCAGATTATATTTTTTTGTTGTGAATCAAAAATCAATAAAGTAAAACATGTGATGCGGTGGCATATGTCAAACATTTATTTGCTTTATTGACTTATCAGGATATTCATGGGCCAGGCCCAGTTGAAATGTTTAATTTTTTGGTTGTACGTCCAATTGGTAGTTCACATCTTAACTATCTTTTATAGCTTTCTCGAATGACTTAAAATAAAGTCTTCGCTTGCTTAAGCTTTGAACTTGCATGATTGTAGTACTGTAACTCTGTGATAAACAAAACTTTCAATATTGCTAGTACTTAACATGTTTAAAATCAAGATATATAATTGGCTTTTTTGCTCATTAAGTTGCCTAATTTTTAGTATTGTAATTTATCAGATTGAATAAAATTAACTACAAAAAGTCTTTTACATACTTTAAAATGTTATGTGACCACAACTTTACACAGCATCTTTTGCAGATCCGTGTGGCAATTGATTATCTATAGATCTGTGACACATACACATAAATTGAGTTTGTTCTTTTCATACAAATTATACAATATGATATTGTATTCTATTTCTGTATGCCAGCTACGAGCTGCTACCATCAAATTTTGAGTGAGCTATTTTAAAGTTGCATGAGCCTATCTTACGCATATGACATACCCCACATATATGAATGACTCGTGTCCATTACAATGTTTCGTCATAACATACAAAACATAAATCTCATATTCGTTTTTGTATATACTTATGATTGCTTCACTGAATTCGATTTAAATTGGTTATTTTGTTTGTTTCCCAACCAAATTATACTTTTATTCACAATTCTTTTTCTTTCTCAAACTTTTATTCACATTTCATTACATGGTTTAACGATGATTCAACAAGTGGAATTCAAACTATTGATCAGTACTAGTATTATTTTCCAAAAGTGACTTAATGAACAAAACATAGCAACAAAAATTGAAAAGAAACACAAGATATTTACGGAAGTTAAAGAGGCTGTCTTTGTCAGTGCAATGAACCTCCTCCTCATCTTTCCCGCCACCCCAACTAACAGATCTCTCACCGTCCACGTCATCCTCTTTTGGATCATCAAATCTATGACTTCCTTTTGGTCTACGTGGTGACAATCCGTCTGTTTCCCGACAAAATTGGGACCCACATGATTGTTATTTATATTATTTTTAAAAGGGATTTTAATTACTATGGTTGGATATAGTATCATTTGTTGACAACACATCACGCTTCTTTCGTTGATTCTCCTCCACATTATATGCCATTATATTTTTAAGTCTATCCCTGTTTAATTTTGTTTAGTAGTTTGTTTAGCAGTATTGTATCTAAAGATTGCTATTCGTATTCTGATTAGGTTATCTTGTTGAATGCCTGTTTTGTAGTAATGTTTAGAGCTATATAAATACTAGACTACGTTTACCATGACGAAAACCAAATATTTTTAACAAACACAGAACTGGTCTATTGGATAAAACTCTTAGATTATCTAATAAATAATTGCAAATAATTTGAATTAAGAACGTACGGACTTTCAAATTTTCAGATCCTAAATTTAACCAAAAAAACTAGATATTTAAAAGATATTGCACTTGGTTTTGAACATGTTGACGTTATTGATTTCATATATAAGTTATCGGAGAGAAAGTGTAAGGGGCGATGATGTTAACCCTGCTATAACATATGCTATTTCCAACAGTGGCACTAAAATATTAAATTTAATGTCAATTAGATTTTGACCCGTACATTAATTCGGATATTTTTCATTTTATAAAAGTATAATTTTAAAGTTATTAAAAATATAAATAATTTTCATTTTAGTTTTATATATTATGTAACACTCTTTTGTTTAAATAATATAGATATATTCTTTTAGCGAACAGTATACATAGTAGCACTTATTATACTATTTTAGTAAATTTTGTTGATATAGAATATTTTTTGCATGTTATGATATTAACTTTTTATGTAATTAAATTAAGATTTCAAAATATAAGATTACTTTAATTTTTACAGCATTAGTTTTTTCCGTGTTACATTCAAGAAATTATTATTTATTCTCGATGGTTCTATCTTTTACAAAATTTTAAATACTATTATTTAATGCTTGAATATTTATTTTTAAAATTGTATATTTTGTCAAAAACAATTTGGAAAATTACATAACTATTTTTGAGTTGGAAGATTATAAGATATTTGAATTTTTTACTACATAAATACTTTATGTCATTAAAATAACTTAATTTTTGGTAATATTTTTTATATATTTCTCAACAGTTTCTTTATAATTGATATAAATATTAAATTTATAATTAAAATTTGATTTTTCATTAATATTTAAAAATAATTATTAAAATTTCATAGTTGTACAATAACATATTATTAAATAGTATATGAACTAAAGGTTAGATATGAACTATTACAGTTGAGAGTTTCAAATAAATAAAAAGAAAATATGTAGTTGTAGATATAAAAGTTTGAGATATGTTAATTTTATATAGTTTACAAATTTATTACATTTTAAAGATGAGTGATAATTTACTTAAGTGAAAATATTTTAATGTGAAAATAGATCAATTTACTTATTTAATATAATTTTGTCATATTTAATTCATAAAGAATTTGTGTGTTAATATAAAACAGAATCTAAGTTAAAAATATAAAAAATAATATAGAATTTTTATTCTCTTGTTTTATAATAAATTTTTAATTAACATTGATTTATAATATTATATTGCTAACGAAATTAATTGTGTATTTAATTTATAAAAATAATTACAGATTAGTATGATTTTGTTAGATTCTTTGTCAATAGAATTTGTTACAATTAAATATCAAATTCAAATTTATAATTGGTTTACTATTAATGTAAAAAATCAACTATGTCATATTAGTCAAATCTTTAGGTGGTATAAGTATGACTTGTTATGAATATATAAAAACAGAACTCTAAATTAATAGATTAGAAATTAATATATTTTTGTAATATATTTTTGAGAGTTTTGAAATAAATAAAAAGATAATATGTAGTTGTAGATATAAATGTTTAACATATGTTAATAAATTTATTTTTGTAAACAAATGTTATATAATTTACAAATTTTAACACATTTATTAGATGAGTGATATTTATAGAATGAAACTATTTTAAAAAGGTCAATTTACTTATTTAATATAATTTTGTCATATTTAATTCATATAGCATTTCTATTTTAATATAATACATAATATAATTATAAACCTTATAAAAATAGGATAATTTTTTATTTTTTATTTTATAATTCATATTTAATAAAGATTAAATTATAATAATATTATATTATAATTACGTAATTAATTAATGTGTGATTTTCTAAAACATATTTAAAAGAATAGTAAGGTTTTGTTCGATTCTTTTTCAGCAGATTTTATTGGATTCTTTCTTAATAGATTTTGTTATAATAAAAATATAGAATTCAAATTTGTAGTTGGTTTATTATTAATGTAAATAATCAAATATTTCATATTAACTAATTCTTTAGATGGTCTTAGTATGACTTGTTAACAATAGATAAAAATAGGACTCTACTTTAATAGATTAGATTCACCAACAAAAAACTAAATTTGATATCATCCCACCAATTTTGATGTAAATTAAATAGTGTTACACCAAATTTGATATAATATTATTCATCACACCAAATTTTAAAATACATACTTTATTATATTTTATTTAATAATATATTTTAAGAATTATTATTAATTAATTCAAATTTGTAATTAAACCTAAATATAATGTATTTTTAAATCATTGTACATAATTAAGTTTTTTTATTTTCTATTAATAAATCACTAAATATCATGTCGTAAGAAAATATATTATTTTTAATTTTAAAAGTATAAATTTTAATTAATATTTTTTTAAAAAAATATAGAAATCAATATTATAAGCTGATTTAATAGTAACTAACTAAAATTTTATGTAATACTATTAAACTTATCAAACATTAAAATAAAAATTTTATTTTGTAAATAGTTAAACTTGTATTACTAACTAATACAACTTTTATTAAATTAATTTATTATTTTGTTACTTTTCATTTTTAATAGTTTGTAATTTTGATCATAACTAATATTTTATATATAATAAATACACAGAGATATAATACTGATAAAATACAAATGTAAATAAATTTTATAAAACATAAAACTAAAAAAATTTAACAAATAAAATAGATAAGTGTGATAAAAAATTATTTATCAGTTACAAATAATTAAAATATAAAAATTATTAGAACTAAAAAAAACAGATAATACAAAATATTATTTTTGATGTAAAATTTGATGTTATTATTGGAGATTGCAAAAAAATTAACACTACAACATTAGATTTGATGTAATTTTAACACCGAATTTGGTGTGAGATGCTCTAATGTATATAAGTTTTTTGGGGTCTAAATGTTACATACTATAGAAGTTACAATACAAATGGATTAAATAGACGTGATGATGTTTATGTTTTCTTCATCTTTTTTTTTTTGTTGAGAAAGGCATTGATGTTTAGGAATTCGATTCTATAATAATGTGTGTGGTGTGTTCAATTTTTTTGGTGTAAGGTGAGCTGGTTGCTTTCGCGTTTGATTTATTTTGGGATGTGCCACAGTTGATTGATACGAGATACTGCTTTGCGTGAGATCCTATCCTATATATGTTTGGAATTCACATGTCATGCTACGATAAACGTCTGCTTTTTTTTGTCGACACGATAAACGTCTGTTAACCGAAATTTTACGATACTAATCATTCAACAATTATTTAATCTGAATATTTTATCATAAACTAGATATTTTGTGGATGTCCATCTTCCTCATTAAGCGTGATGAAGAATAATTTATGTTAAAGAATATTACAACACTTTTTTATAATCCTGCTTGCAGAAAATACTCTTTTATATCCTAACCAAAAATCTTTGAAACAATGAAAGAAATTCAATAATTACTTCAATTTAATTAAACTAGGATTCTGTTCACTAACTTTCAAAAATTTTATTGACATGTGGCATGTCTATCTTTTTTTAAAAAGTATTTCTATACAAAATAAAACATGTGTAGTTTAGAGTAGATCCAAAATTTAATTTCCATAAATTTTATTTGACATGTGGGATATTTCTCTTATAGAAAACTGATAGAAACAATGTATTCAAAAATTACAGTAAGGATAAGCACTAATGGAGCTGTGACACGATAGCAAATGCAAGATAAATATGTACTTCATAGCTCATATAAAAAGAAAGAAATAATATATTTTACCAAAAGAATATATATAGTTTTTTGTTTGCTTATATAGGCAAGTTCAAAGTAAGAAAATATAATTACTAATTTTTTTTTCTTGACTGAACCATCTCTCTTCTGTACTGTATAATAAACAAAGACCTATCTCTGTCTATCTCTCTCTAAAAAATGCCATATGTAGCAGATTTATAACCGATCTCTGCCTAAACTTTTTGTTATTTTTCTTTTGTTTGTGACCAAAAAATCTACTAGAATTTGTTTTCCTTGAGTAAATTATAATTGAGGAGAGAGAGAGAGAGAGAGAGCACAGAATCTGTTAAATGGTTGAAACGAATTACCCAGAATCAAGGAAACCCTGAATGCAAAAGAGGAAAATTTCTTGGGTTTGTGATTTCTCGAGAGAAAAAGAAAAACTTTACTTTTTTTTTTAAAAAAACTGTTCTTTAATTAGCTAATCTCAATCTATATCATGTGCTAACTAAGGTTGTCTCACTTTCCTCTTATGAGTCATGAGTTTCTTGTCTTCATCTTTCTCTAATAAAGCTCCTTTGTCTCTTCAATTTTATGTTCTTATTCCCCTGAACTCATCTCAACCATAACTTGTCCATCTTTCTCTTCAAAACCTCGTTCCTTTCTGATTTGTGTCTCTTTGCTACAGAGATCAAGCAAGTGCTTATGGACAAAGCTTCTCCTGCAGTTGCTGTTCCATTCAGACCATTCCCTGACCCAAAACTCGAGTTCGCCGGGATCAGAGGCTATTGCAGCACTTCGTTGCCCGAAACCGTGTGTTCCGGTGAGGAATCGTTAAAAGATTCTTCCTTTCAGATCAACATGAGGCAGGATTCGTCATCGTCATCATTACAATCCGCTGCGGCACGTCTACCCGACGTTACGGTGGATATCTCCGCGGCAGAAGAAATCAACGGCTCAGATGAGTTTGATCCAAGATCAACGGCTAAGAACGAGAAGAAAGTGCTCAGCAGAACAGAGAGTAGAAGTCTGTTCGAGTTCAAGAGTGTTCCTTTATACGGAGTCACTTCGATCTGTGGGAGACGACCGGAGATGGAAGATTCCGTCTCGGCGATTCCTAGATTCCTTCAAGTCTCGTTGCTCGATTGTGGCCGTGTCGCTAACGGGTTGAATCCTCACTCGAGCGCTCACTTCTTCGGTGTTTACGACGGTCACGGCGGTTCTCAGGTAAACCGGAATTGCAAAATCTAATTTTTTCAAACCGGAATTGAAAAATCTATTTTTTTGCAAACCGGAATTGAAAAATCTAATTTTTTTGCAAACCGGAATTGAAAAATCTATTTTTTTGCAAACCGGAATAGAAAAATCTATTTTTTTGCAAACCGGAATTGAAAAATCCAATTTTTTTGCAAACCGGAATTGAAAAATCTATTTTTTTTGCAAACCGGAATTGAAAAATCTTTTTTTTTTTTTGGCCTTTGTTTTGATCGGTTCTTTTGTGTTTAGGTGGCGGATTATTGCCGTGAGAGGATGCATTTGGCTTTGACGGAGGAGATACTGAAGGAGAAGCCGGAGTTTTGCGACGGTGACACGTGGCAAGAGAAGTGGAAGAGGGCTTTGTTCAACTCTTTTATGAGAGTTGACTCGGAGCTTGACTCTGTCCCGGAGACTGTGGGGTCTACTTCGGTTGTCGCCGTTGTTTTTCCGACACATATATTCGTCTCTAACTGTGGTGACTCGAGAGCGGTTCTGTGCCGTGGCAAAACGCCACTCGCGTTATCCGTCGACCACAAAGTAAGTGAATACACTATTTTAGTTATATTTATTTTGTGACAAAATAGTAAATATCAATAGAGTTTTATGTCATTACAAGCTGAAAAACAGAACTTGTCTTAATGAATCTGTGTGTTAGCAAATATAGATGGTACATGCCTATAGATTTTGGTCAATATTCTTATAGCGTTTTGGGTCTACATTTTCATGTGTAGCCGGATAGAGAAGATGAAGCGGCTAGGATAGAAGCAGCAGGTGGGAAAGTAATCCAGTGGAATGGTGCTCGTGTTTTCGGTGTGCTCGCCATGTCAAGATCCATTGGTAAGGCTAAAAAAAAACATTAAATGGTCTTTTATTGGTTTCTTTTGATAGTTTCCTTGCGTTATAATTAAACATTTGCAAAACAGGCGATAAATATCTAAAACCATCGGTGATCCCTGATCCGGAAGTGACATCGGTCAGACGAGTCAAAGAAGATGACTGTCTCATCTTAGCAAGTGATGGTCTTTGGGACGTGATGACTAACGAAGAAGTGTGTGATATGGCTCGGAAACGGATCTTGTTATGGCACAAGAAGAATGCTATGGCCGGAGAGGCTTTGCTTCCGGCGGAAAAAAGAGGAGAAGGTAAAGATCCGGCGGCGATGTCGGCGGCAGAGTATTTGTCGAAGATGGCTTTGCAAAGAGGAAGCAAAGACAACATAAGTGTAATAGTGGTTGATTTGAAGGGAATAAGGAAATTCAAGAGCAAAGCCTTGAATTGAATAAGAAGGTTTGGAAGAAATAAAATAAGAAAAAAAAAGTTTTGATGGTGGGTAAATCTCTTTAAAATCAAAAAATCAGGTAATAACAATATTTTTAATTGTTTGTAATATTAATTTTCTGGTTATTTTATTTTTTTAACTTTGCTATTTTCCCACCATTATTTAATTTTTTTTACTGACATGAATATGTATATGTGAGATCATGTAGCTTCCAAACAAAAATCCCTTTGTTATCGGGGTTAATTGTAATATGACTACACTCATAAGCTAAGAGCTAGTTTTATTTATCTTTGTTTTCATTATTACCTTTGGAATAGGGTCTATTATGTGGTGCAATCCAACATGGTCTTGTTGAGGATATGTATATATTTTTGAATCCCACACATTTTGAGAAAATCTTTCAATGTGTGACAAGAAAATATTGCACATACTCCCTTTTTTTTTTTGTCATCTGCACATACTCCCGTTTATTTGGGATAATTGTAGGTGATGGATCTAGTAATTTAGGGATGACATGCTATTTCCACATGAGAAGTATGGCATCATTTCATATGTCTCCCAAACTATATTCTCATCTCAGATGTCTCTAAAATAAAAAATTCAAAACCTATATCTCCATGAAACTATAGTAGAACACTTACATCTCCCGGATTTTAAAGTTTGAAAGCTATAACCCTATTAAATTAAATTACACTATTTAAACTTATAAAGTTAAACCATTTGATTAATTAAACAAGTTTAGACCAATAACGACCCGATTAAGATCCAATTAACGCAATCAAACCAGAAATTATAAATTACAAAGTTGATTCAACCATCTCAGCTGCTATAATTTTTTATTTTACTGCGGTAATCAAATTTTAATTGGGTCGTTATTCGTTTAAAACTGGTTTGATTGACCAAAACAGTTTAAGTTTAGATTTAAACTGTATAATTTAATTTTATGGGGTTTTGCCTTTTGAACTTAAACTTCGGAGAAATATAAGTGTTTTTCTATAATTCCATGGAGAAATAGGTTTTGAATTTTTATTTCGGAGATATATGGGATGAGGGATAGTTTGAGAGAGATATAAGAGCATCTCTAATTCCACTCCATATTTTACCCAAAATGGAGTGGAGAATAGAGTAATGAAGAAACAAAAATCTCATTACTCCATATTTGGAGTAATCACTTTTTTGTTTCTTCATCACTCAATTTCCCACTCCATTTTGCAGTAAATTATGGAGTGGGGTTGGAGATGCTCTAAGAGGATGCGATACTTCTTGTGGGAAAATAGCATGTCTTCCTAGTAATTTACTTGGTTACTAAACACAAGACGTTTGATTGTGGAGTATTATGTAAGGCAGCTTTTAAACCAATATTTTTTGTCTTTTCATTACATTAACAATTAAACTGAAAAAGTGAAAACGCTTCAGTGCAAACAAAAACAAAGAAGTAATGCAAAATTTGGCATCTTATTAATAATATCCAAAAATTGATATTTACTCTTAACTCTCTAAAAGTTATTTCGTAAATAACTTTAATCTAAGATTAAAAAACAGCATTTTTTGTTGTGTTTAAAAAAGAAAAAAAAAGCTGATTGGTTGGTGAAAGAGTATTTACTTTGAAAAGATTTTCAGTTTCTTCTTCTTTCAGTTAATTGTATACATTTAAAGCGCCGACAAAGTTGAACAAAGACAGAAGAAGAAGCGGAAGAGACACGATTCTCAGCTGTGGTTTTAATTACAAGATTCATTTCGAAAAAAACGAGATTCTCCTTGGTGAGTTATCTTTGATCTACTGTTTCATTTTTATTCTCAGAGCAATTCTGATGAACTCTGGATCGACGAGTTTGTTTGATTTGCGTGCGCTGATTGATTTCAAATCTTTAGCTAGATTTTGTGTTGTTGTTGCATACTTTGTCTTGTGAAATCTATATATATCTTGGAACTGATAGCTGCTTGTGAAATTCAGGCGGTTTCTTTGTCAACGCCGGGAAAAATCGAAGATCTGGTCTCAAGCAAGATACCTAGCATGGACGAAAGTAATTGTTCCCTCTCTTATAAAAAAATTGGTGGTGTTTGGCAATTTATTGTGCTTCTTGGTTACTTTTAGTGTAATATAGGTGCATTTAGAGCTGTGATTTGGTATGTAAATAAGTAGAGATTGAGATGTGCATGTTGTCTGACTGAATTCTCATATATTGGTTGGAAGAGAGATATATATATCGCTTTAGTGATCTTTTAAAAAAAAAATTATTTTCGATTTATAAGAGTTCACCCATAGATGTGCAAGTAAATATTGCATCTTCATCGTTGCAGATACTAAATCTGTATCCGGAAATGGTAGAACCGACCTGGTTAAATTCATTGCTGATAGCCATGCCAAGCTCATGAAACCAGCTGCTCGTTATTACTATACACTTAAAGGTTAGTACCACAACCCATTTACTGTAGATCTACCGTCTTGGTCCCTGGTCTTGTGTCATATTGTAGAGGTCCTCCTAGTTTATTATGTTCACCATTATTGTTATTCCTATCTAAGATCATGTGAAATACGAAGCATTCGTGTAAAAACGTTCTCGGTTCTGGCCATGAACTAAGAGATGATGTATCTCTGTTTCGGTAGATGCTATGGGTTGGGGGAAAAGAAGATATACGGCTGTAAAAGATGCAGACGACATGGAAACAGGAGTATTTGACAAGCCTCTTCCTTGCTTTGGTTGTGGAGTCGGATGGTTCTCGTGAGTATATGTCCCTCTTGTTAGTTCTGTATTATCAGTCTTATTAAGACCAGTTCTGATTTAAACTCCTTGATGATTAACAGCTTTCTACTGGGTTTTGCGTTCCCACCTTTGTGGTACTATGCTACGTTTCTTTACTTCGGGAACTATTACCGCAGAGATCCTAGAGAAAGAGCCGGCCTTGCTGCTTCCGCAATCACTGTAAGTACTCGTGTGTGTATGAATACATATTATGGTTACAAATAATCTATAGTCTGAAGAAAATGACTGAAGATTTGAAGTTTTATTGATGCAGGCAATGGGATTCTCTCTTGTGTTACTCGTGGTTTTTGCTTTCCGTTGGTTTTACTATCTTTGAGATATACGAGTAAACATGTAAGTATACATTATTAGAAGTTCCGTGCTCATCAAGGAATAGTAGCGGAAATTAATGTCTCATGTACATTCACATAAACCTATGAGTTTACTTCAACCTTTTCTCTAAAATTGTGTATCATTTTTTTGTTCACAGCTTATAGAGTCTGTATACAAAGGAGAGAAAAAAAGAAGGAATAAATGTTTGATATTGTAGCTACATTTCTGTTCTTTGTAATTATTCTCAATATAATTTAAAACTATATATAATTTAGTAAGAATTTACTATAATTTTGTTTTAAAATTTAGAAAGTCTTAGGTCAATGTTTACTAGTCTAAGATCGGCCGAAAGAAAAGGTTTTCAGTGTCTAAGGGAGTGGACTACTAAACTCCAAACTGTTCTCCTCATACGCACATTCAAAACCTCAGAAGACGGCATGATGTGCTTTGATTAGAGTGTAAAAGGGAGAGATGTTTCCAACGATAGGTACACGTACGGGGGTTACGTTATCTTTGTACTTATCATCAAAGAGTCATGAGGTTGAATGATTCGATTATTCTCATTGCTTGAAGCTTCCAACAGGTTAATGCCACGACAAATGTGTGGATCTCTCTTCAATTTTATTAATAGTAATAATTGAAACACGAATCATTCAGAGCTTTACTTAATTTTATACTATGTAACGTAATACGATTAGATGTGGTAAAGTCGCACGTGTGTGAAGACAGCCTGTGTATCTGATCCTGGAAGATAGCTGTTTGAAGAAACTTAAACGATACTTCCGACTCACCTAGCGACTCCTTTTCACAGCCTGTCTCTTTCTCTTCTTTCCTTTTCTTTCTTATTAATTATATATATTTTTTTCTTTCTTATTAATTATATATATTTTTTTCTTTCGTGTGGCTCGTTTCCAGACACAAATACAGGTATCTGCACCTAAACTCCAGATTCATGTCCATCTGTGTCCAATTATTTAATTACTCACTCTTTTGTTTTCTATTACAAGAAAACACAATTATGTATTACCGTATTTCTAGCAACAACCACAATACACAAACATAAAATTCCAACTCTTCGGTCTATGTTTACCCTTTTTAAGCGGAAATGGTGTTTTGAATTCGGATTATTAGCAATCGTAGCTGGTTCCTTTAATTTCATGCGTTGACTGAATCCACAAAAGAACAACGACATTGCTACTTTGCATATCGTTACGACCTATAATTTGCGATATCTATTTGTTTATCATAATATTTTAATTTTCACCAATCGTAAATTTTTTTTTTTGTTAAACCATGTTTTGATTTATCGAGCGATAACAAAACAAATTGGATCGCAAACAAACATGATAAACTCTTCTTGAGACAATCATGTTGATAGAAGTTTATCGGGGTTTTTGCAAAACCAACCTAAAATTTCAAGTCAAACACAAAACCAACCTCTTTTTTTTTGTCCATTACTATTCACTCTTAAAAAACCTAAACTCTCCTCATGTTTCCACTTATTTACCAAATTGCCATTATTTTTAAATCTGATTTTATTTTCGAAAATTATTAAAAACCTATTACACCCTAAACATTTCTCC